CCATCCTCGTCGTACCGCTTAGGAACATTCCGCAATGCCTCCCAAGAATGCCACCCAGGATCGCCATTGTGCTCTGTTCTTCCCTGACGACAAAAGTGTCGTTGGCGGCAGAAAGTTGGGTCTCACGGACAACATTGACACGGTCTTCTTGTACAAGAAGCAAACTGCCAATACTCGCCCTTACCTTTCTATTTCCCTCCGGTTTGACAGACAAGACATCAACTATGCCTCTTTTGGTGACGAGTTGAAAGCCCTCCAGATCTCAATCGTCTTTTTGAAGGATACATACGAGATCTCTGGCTGCTACCTTTCTGATGACGTTCATCAGAGTCTGTTCAACACGGCGCCCAAGGAGAAGAAGATGTATGTTGCCCATATCCGCCTCAAGGATGGCCATGATGCCCTGATCCGAGGTATCGGCATGCCATTTGTTGGTGCGAACGATACCATTCAAGGTTACGTCACCAAGAAAACGAAGATCGACAACTCTCGGACCTTGCGGGAGGTTATGGACCAGAAAGAGTTCCATGTTCTCTTTGCCAACGATGGCATCAAGAAAGCAGTCGAGAACAACTTTTCGGTCTCCATGGAAACTGATCAGGGCAGAGCTTATCCATATGGAAATGAGTAAGTCCAACAGAGCACACTGTCCCGATCTTCTGTTCTAAACGACTAACGTGGGGTTCTCGTAGGCATTCTTGGGACATTGCAAGATATGGTGAACAGCTGGGTGGACCGCATGCTGACGCCAATGCCTATCCCAAGACGGATTATCATCAAACCGCCAACGATGCTCTGACTTCTCTCACCCAGTCTGTAGTTCAAGACAACTACCACCTCATCACCGATGTCGCCGCCATCAGCGAGAATCCTGTCAGAGCCCGGTTTGTTCACATTACTAAGCCTGTGGGCGACTTGGAGCCCACAAAGCTTCCCGATGAGTGCTATGTCATCATAGCTGCTACTGAGCTTGTAAGTGGGATTGTTCTCTCCTCTGTCTTGTTGTTCATTTGTCAGCTAACGGTCCGTCATCTAGAACTCGTATCAGAATACACTGCGGCGCGCTGGAAAGCCCAAAGGTGCAGTACGCATTGGGCTTCGGGCTCCACCACCGAAGGGGAAGGGAAAGGACATGAGCCTCTAGGAAGGAATCATTCAACACCCTGATGCCCTCGGCTCCGACGTTCGTGGCGATCTCATCATTCGCATTCGCCGCATCCGTCAGAAGACCAAATTGGACTCGGCTCCTGTCGAGGACTCACAGCATTCCGATGAACCCAATGCTTCTCAACAACCTGACGCCAACTCCCAAGAGCCTGATACCAACTCTCAGCAGCCTGATGCCGACTTTCAAGAGCTTGAAGCCAACTCTCAAGAGCCTGAAGCTGACTTTCAAGAGCCTGATGGCGACTCTCAAGAGCCTGATGGCGACTCTCAAGAGCCTGATGCTTCTCAAGAGCCTGATGCTTCTCAAGAGCCTGATGCCGACTCTCAAGAGCCTAACGCCATCTCTCAGCAGCCTGATGCTTCTCAAGAGCCTGATGCCGACTCTCAAGAGCCTGACGCCATCTCTCAGCAGCCTGATGCCAACTCTCAACAGCCTGATGCCAACTCTCAACAGCCTGATGCCGCTTCCCAGGAGCCTCGAGCCTTTGAGACTTTTGCAGATGGTGGTGATCATTGGGACAAGGTGTACCTTTACATGGATGATGGTGCAACGGTTGTGAGACGCAGAGTCGCTGTTGCTAATCAACTCTTCTCATTCAATCCTGTACCAGTGGAGGAGAGGGTGAAGAAGCCAAAGTTCAAGTCACGTCGCAAACAACCAGAGTTTGATGACGATGAACATCAAAATCTCGACGACGATGGTGAGCCCGGCGACGACGACATCACTTCAAAAGAAGTGCAAGCAGCCTTGGCAATAGCTCCCACGACGCCTGATCTTGCAGAGCAGCATGAGCAAAGATGTATGAATGCGTATTTGCGAGATATATACCAAGGTCTCGGGTTACCCACCGCACTGAACCCTCCCCCTTCCCTGGTTGAAGAACTCAGCGACGAGCTCACTTCCCGAATGGCTGCCTTGAACCTTGGCAATCAAGAGTCCATTCTCGCCCCTCGCTTTGAGTTTGTCAAATGGTCAACTCCAGCCAGAGTCAAAGCCATTTTGGATCAACTGTCTCTGGTCGACAAGGAGCGCTTGACTCAGTACCTCTCTCTCTGTGTACTTGGTCTTGTGGCTATTGCTGGATTTGCGGGTTCGGGAAAGACGCATCAGCTTGCTGTCGTCTCTCTTCTCTTCAACGCTGATCCAAAGGTTAGCCAAATTTACGTCTCTGCTCCCACACACGTCGCCGTCGAGAACATTGCCACTCGTATCCACGCCATTGGCAAGGCTATCAACGATCACGCTGCTCGGGTCAACCAGTGGCACATTCCGTTCGTCGTCCATGGCCACTCGTTGGAAAGAGAAGTTGTCAATTGTTCTGGCTACTGATACCACCTTGACCGTCCCTCCCATTGATGAGTGGCAGGGACCATCCATATATGCTCTGCCCCTTTCTCCGTGTGAGTGGTTGTTGAAGGTGGTTGGCTCTGGTTCGTGGAAATTGGACAAGGATGATCACCCGACCCTGTTGTCATTGCAGCAGTCTTTTGGCCAAAATGCCAAATATGAGAAACTACGCGAGTTCGCCAATGGCACGAGAAAATGGGATGATGTCGATGATGGCAAGGTTCTTGTCAAGTCTCTCTTGGTGGCTATCATCTCTGGCGCCGAATATGTGTGTACGACCCCGCATACGTCCAGGGAGACGCCATACAAGCAGGTCCGCGCGATCGCGCAAGCCGTTGTGCTTGATGAAGCAGGAGCAATGCATAAACTTGATGCATTGATGGTATGGGGCCCATTGGCACGGCCGTGTGCCATGGCCGGTGATGAGAAACAGCTCAACCCAGTCGTCATGGAGCACGAGAAGAACTTGTTCCAGGAACATGGTCGTGACTCCATCCTTGAGCATATCAAGGACATCGGCTACCCGCGTATTGTGCTCAATGAACAGAAGCGTATCGCTGCGGGGCAATTCGATCTCGCGCACAAGCTTGTGTACTCTCATGTCAAGGACTTTGCTTATGCCCAATCCGCGCAACTGGCGAATCAACCGATTGCTCGGGAACTCAAGGTTTGGTCGGACCAGAGATACAATCTACAATCTCCAAGTGACAAGGCATATCCGGTGTTTCTCAGTGTCGAGAAGTCCCCGTGTGTCATTACACCCGCACACTCCAGATTCAACCGGGGTCAGAACCGTGCTGCGAGAAAATTGATTCGAGACCTTCTTGCACAGAATAAGGCTATATCACCTGGAATGATTTCCGTTGTGACGCCGTATCGTGCCAATTTGGAACTTTTGAACTACCAGATGTCCAAAGAACCATTCGGGGACAAGATATCCATCACAACGACAGATTCATACCAAGGTCGAGAGAATGACGTTGTCGTTCTTGTCCTCACCGTTGACGAAAGTACGGGCCCCGCATTTGTTGCGAATACCGCTCGTATTTGTGTTGGTACCACACGACAAAAAAGTGCCCTATTCGTCATTGGAGATGCGGAGACAGTCAGTAAAGATCTCACCAAGGAGCAGGAGAAAGATGTCAAGGCACTCAAGGGTGAGGAGGCTGACGACGGGGAAGTCATCCCCGTGCGTCATGACATGTTCCGCCGATTTGTCCAATGGTTCAAAGATGAATCACGGACCGTCGATGTCCCCGCCATCGACGATGGCTATGATTCTTCAGACGATAAGGACTTTCCCTTCGCTGACAATGTCGGACAACAGACCACAGACAGCACCAGTGGTGGCGGTTGGGGACCGGACACAGATAATGATGCTTTCGGCGATTGGGGTGCCAACCCAATTCCCGGTGGTGATGCTTCTGGCGATTGGAATGCCGACGCAATGCCCGGTGGTGATGCTGGCGCATACAAATGGTAAACAAGTCTGTTGGCGTTGGTTACGACCACGCCGATGCTAGAAATTTTAGGTGTTGAGCAAGTCTGTTGGTGTTGATTACGATCACGCCACAATATATATTTTGCAACTTTCGAGAAGATTGGCGAACAGGAGTGCAGGTCTATCACATTTATTTTCAAATCACCGTTTGTCCATTTGATGAATCTTGTTTTCTCCACGAAATTATGAATACAGCCTATTCCTCTCAATCTCTTCCAAATCGCCGAAAGGTCGAGACCATCTGATGGGCATACCATGGAACTGGTAGATGAACTCGATGAGGAAAACACCACGGAGCAGCCATGACAATCCTCAGGCGCGAGGTGATGTGCCCAAATTATGACATTGTGGACAATAGGCACTGAAAAAGATTCATCTGTGGCCCGTCGTTATTTAACCACCATCAAGACAATCGAAAAAATTCCTCCTGCCAAAATTTCAGCATCCTTCCGGGTTGGCCAGCACAATCACGTTCCTGCCGTTCTTGGGTCTCGCCAAAAGGATTCTGGCAAACTTGGCGCTTGCCCGACTTTTTCCAATTTGTGATATTTCCACATTTCTGGCTGTTGCGGAAAATTTCTTACACAAGACACAATTATCACTGCCTCTCCTGCCTTTTTTTCATTCCTTCACTCGACAACAATCAACCCGAATTGGACGCGAGGCAATCTACTTCCGCGACAAAAAGTCACCATTCACCACATTTCAACTCTCTCACTACTCAGCAACCAAGAACCCCCAACGACAAAAGCACAGCGCGAGACAACCATGGCTGATCCGCCGCCCCCAGAGAATCCCGTCGATGGCGCCCAAGGAACTGGCGGAAGCAAGAAGCGCAAAGATCTAGGTGATCAGCGCCCAGCGGAGAACATCATGGGCGAATCACAGGGAGCCCAAACCAGCCACACGGCGGCCATCGGCAATACCGTTGACCAAGAGCACGATGAGAATGCGGGCGAGAATGTAGCGCTCCCAGCACAGAACCAAGCATACGTGCCCTTCATGAGAGACGGCGACCACGAGACAGCAGAAAAGCAAGTAACTTTTGACGAGGCCGCGAAGAAGAATGATGGCGGACAAAAACTCAAGAAGAAATCGGGCAAGTCCAAGGAACCCAAGGTTGAAGAGGACATTGACGACAACCGATGGCCGGAAAGCATGGGGGGTCTCAAGGTCGTGCGCCATCTGGTGGTTAGGCCCGGAGAACGATGGCCAAGAAGGAACGAGGAGGCCGTTGGCGCAGACAATTCACTCGACGATGTTGCTCCCAATGACGATCGATGGATGGGTGCCGTGCAGCAAGTCATGGCACAAATTAGCATGGCCGATCGTGATACTGATGTCGGCATCCGACGCGCATATCAACACCAATTTCTCGGCAATGACAGCTCGCAGAAAACGCGATTAATGCCGGTCGGCGCAAGCCTTGTCCCCAACGGCGCGAGCCTCGTCCCTCTGAACTTTGAGCATCAAACCATGAATGACCATTTTCGGGGCACACTAGACAAACGCGTCAGACTCTGCCACCTCAGCGGCGTGCAGTGTCTGATTATCGCCAAGTATGAATACTTGGTTCAATCGCCATCATATTTCATCGATGAGGAATTGTGGGTGAAGGACGTTATCAAGACCCCCGACATTGATTTCCTCTGTAACGTGGGATCGAATAATGGAGTCAGAACCCTTCGTTTGTCGCCTGGCCAGACTGTCGACGTCCCCGATGAATGGTGCATATCAAACAAAGATCGAGAGGTGATGACACTCGAGGAAGTCAGGCGAGTACAAAGACTAATGGTCCAGCTGGTGCGAGAAGGTTTGCCAATAGAGGTCTACGACAATATTGTCGAGATCATACTGCTATCGGATCCAAGGGATACAATTTCAAATTGTTATGCATGGAGGGCATGGAAGAAGCAAAACAGACCTTTGACCTTTAATCAGTACGAAGCCATTAGATGCTGCAACATTGGCGTTGAGCCCACAATCATAAGGAAAGCCATTGAAGCATCCGGATTACAGTTTTTTCGACAGTCCAAGATGATATTTGATGGCTCGAGACCCATCAACCTTTGTGCCGGTAATGGACACGGCGTATCTCACGACAACGAGGAGGTTCCCGGGGTTAGTCGCCCGACAAATCTGCAAAAGGAACTCGCCGCAGATGAACAGCAACGACGTGAAAACAATGAACAACAGATTGACGACGGTGACGATGCCATGGATGACGACAGAGACTCTGGCAAGGTGATTGGAAAGGGCAAATCGCCCGAGACGAGTGTCAAGCGTCCTACTCCAGGACGTGGAACATCTAGCAACAACGATTCCAATCTTTCCATCCAGCTGGAGGGCACGGAGGCGAGGGTTATCGAATTTGTCGAGGTCATTTCCGAGAATATATCGGAGTCCAATAATCAGGTCAAGGCGTCGACGGCCAATATTGACGAAAAACTCGAAGAAGCAAAGATTGCTGCCGACGGCCGCTCTAAGGAGATTTCCGATATCGGTAAAACAGTGGCCAGCATGAACGACGGAGTCAAGTCAATCAATGATGAGATTCATACGTCTTTGCCCAGCATTGGTGAACAGCTCAAGGAAGCAAAGGTTACCGCCAACGGCCAATCCGAGGGGATTTCCAACATCGGTAAAACAGTCGACGACGGATTCAAAGAGACCCGTGAACAGCTCAAGGAAGCAAAACTTGCCGTCAACGGCCAATCCGAGGGGATTTCCAACATCGGTAAAACAGTCAACGAGGGATTCAAAGAGACGCGTGCAAAGCTGGATGAATCGCAAGCGGTGGCCAATGACAGATTTGAAAAGTTGGACAAGAAAATCGATGAGGATTTGGTCCACAAGCTAGATGGTTCGCTATCTGGTATCAATGACCTCAAAACAACTGCCCAAGATATGGGCATTTCCTTGTCAAGCCTTGCCAACCAGTTTGCCACCGTTGACGAAAAACAGGACAAACTAATGGCCAATCAGGAAAGTCACTATATGGCCATCCAAAGGCTTGAAGAATTCCGTCAACATGAGGAATCAACTAGAAACGAGCAAGAATTGGCCAATCAAATCCATCGAGACAATATGGAGAATCGTATCAGGGAGCTGGAAAAGGAACTAGCGGACACCAAGGAGAAGCTACATGACACTGCCAATGACCTGACGAATGAACGAAAGCTGACGAAAGCCGCCATCGATAAAAGGGACAAGGCCATATTACAGCTTGCCAACGGAGAACGCTACCCGAACAAATATTATCGTATCAGCAAAAGATACGTCGCAGTCGCTTCCAAAACCGCATCTACGGCGGTTGCCGCGCTCGCTGTTTGGAAGGCATCCCCCCGGTTGGCCAGAGCCGGAGCTCGATGGTCGGGACCCAGATTGCAGCGTCTAGGCCAATGGCTGTCCGACAAAGCTATGGACATGAACCGCCAATAGGCTGGCAACAATGACTCTGGTTATTGTTAGAATTTGCTTGAAAAGACCAGGACCTTGGCTATATATCAAACTGGCCAACCCAAAGGCCGCTACCTGTTTGACAGGACCGGCAAACCAAGAATGGTGGACGATGGGCGCCGTGCGTTGTTTTTTCCTTCACTCCAGTATTGGGTGGTGTTTCCCTCGCCGTTGGCGACGGCTGATTGCGTTTCGTCCTGGCAATGAAAGATAATGGTCATTGGTGATGGATGGGCATCACCAAGATTGGGTGGATTATCTGGGCACGGGAATTAGACGTTTATAGTCTTGGCCAATACATCATCTTTTGACCACAATTATCTTTGACGACCATGATTAACAGCCATCAACCTATATTAACCATTGCTGACGGCTCTCTTTTAGTTGCAATACAACTTCGGTCAGTGGCTCCCAGTGGTAATTTGATAAAACGGCACTTGGAGAGGACCGCGGATGCCTCGTGTGTACTCTGCGCAGTCATTGCCTTTTGAGTTTTCCCAGCCGGCTCAAATGTACAAAGTAGTGTGTCAAATAATAAATATCTATGAGGACGAGCTGTTGGACATGTTGAATCATTTCCCAGATTCAATGTCTTGGTAGAATTTGCTAGCCATATCAAGCTTTTGAGCTTGTGTCTTGGATGTGCAGTAGGCGAAAGATCACGACGGATGCAGTTTAAAGTAATTCTCGAAGCATTCCTTTTGCAAAAGCAGCACCTTTGCTATTTTGCATGGAAGAGGTACAAGCTTTTAGATTAGAGGTCGCGAGTCTAGTCGCTGAGGTCCACGTTCAATGCGTCTGATGGAACCATTTTTGAAATCCGCAAGATGCACGGAATCATTAGATTCTAGCTGCTTGAAGTGTATGCAAAATCTACGGCATTGGTACCATTGAAGACTTTACATATTTTGATCATTCAAAGTCTGGTTGCCCAATTCAGGAGCAGCGGTAGGCGGATCCATTTCAAGTTACAATCTCACGAATTGCCCCGTCTCATTGGGATTAGGCGGACAGAGGCTGAACACCCCTCCAACAAAAGCTGGTTGCTGCATCTGGTACCTTGGTATTGAGCTCAAATATAATTATGTCCAAAAGTTCGGCATCAGAACCCCGAAATGAGGAATTGTAAGTGCTGTAAAAGTCATGTTTCGATAGTTTCCCGGTACGCAAGCTTCCCCGCACACCATGCAAGGCTCTGGTGCTTGTAAACGAGTCGCTTTATACTAGATTTGAGTTGGCTTGACACAAGTGTCTCTAGGTATTGATACTGTATTTTTTGGGCAGTCATCTTCCCACTCACTCTAGCGGCGGCTCCATGCTCTCTTGTCGTGAGTTCACATGATATTATTAGCTGAAATACATGTGCCAAACTAGTAGGTACGTCGGTTGAGATGACGGCCCAAATCCTCGCGCCCCATTCACTTTTACATGCAAGAAGTCCGTGCATAGCACCAGCCATACACTAGCCACACCAAATTCCTGCGCAAGCCACGCCAAACGATACATCCAATGTCCTTGAAACATTGTAAATCCACGATATCTCAACTAAATAACGTGGAAAAAGGGGCAAATCCATGAGAATTAGTTGTTAGGTTCAGGTAGCTTGATAGGTATCAGAGGTAGGGGTTCGGGAGCTCGAGGGCATGTATGAGCCCTTTGTAATCTGGTAGATAGTAATTGTGTCGTGCATGGTACTTGGGACGAGAGGGCGAGGATATGGGTGCAGATAAAAGGCATGACTCGCTTCGGTCCAAGCCTACGCGACACCGTGTCAGGTACTCGAAACTCGTCGCAGCTAGAATAGATAATAGGTTCATTGTTTCTCGGTTCACATTGGCCAGAAACCACTCCCTTCAGTATTTGGAACCTCGTGCGTCGACCCATCTAATTTTGTTTTCATCTGTTGAGATGGGGAACAAAAACCAAACCAAACCAACCCCACCTAAGACAGACAGCCGTTAGGCTGTGGCCTTTATGTGGTTTTTGATCAAATAGCATATAAAATCTTAAAATATATGGGAACAGTTTTGATTAAGAAAACGATGGATGGTGGTCCTGTATGCTAAACGCAACGAAAAACAAAGGCTTATAAGTCCCGAAGGGGCTTATAAAGCCACTCTAAGCTAAGCCTCCACAGCCACTTTTAGTGGGCATCTCCAGCACCCCCACATCACTGTGGCTCTCGGGTAAAACTCACGGCGCAACTCAAAGGGCCGTCCGCCCGGGCGTTTCGCCCCTAGTCTGGCAATGGTTCCAAGCTTTGCGTCAAGCAGGACCTGTCGTTGTTCATACCTGGAGACTCCCAGAACAAATAAATGAAAGTCAAAACATGAGACGGCCAGTTGAAGGATGTCAGATTAGCATCTCGTGCGGATGCGCGACCTCAAAGGCATTCCATGACCGTGTTGTAAACTACCTGCATGTACTTGGCGACAAAGTAAAGCATCTCTTTAGTACAGCCTGCCACCCAAAGCACGTCGTCACCCAGGTCAGAGAAAACGGGATCGGTATCTATGTTCAAACACGACTGAGGATGCATCAATGCCGGATTGCGGCATGCCTGCAAATTCTGTGGGTGCAAAATCTTGCATATGTTTTGGTCATCTTTACCACATCCAGGTTTTTATGTGAGGACGAGTTCGCCAGCATGGCAATGCGACCACATGGCAGGAAAGTATATAAGTTTTATTTCGATCAACACGACATTGAGGACCGGAAATGCTACACACAATACACTAGATAAATCGCCATGATTTATAACCGCATGGGTTTTGTATTCACGACCCGGAGGCCAAGTTGTGGGCTTTGCATTTTAGTGCTGTAGGAGTGGTGTGGCTTCAAAATTCAACGATTCTTCATTCATGCCTCCCATTAATTTGCAGCATCGACACAAATGACGTCAAAGACCGCTCTTGGCTATCTATTGGACCATGATACAAAAGAAAACTTGCGCGAGCAAAGATTAGTGGAAGAAATGGGTAGATTCAGCAAAAGTCAACACCAGGCTGTGCTGTCTTCAATGTTTAGACTGCAAGTCGATGGACATGGTGGCCGGAGCTCAAGATTTTCCACTATCGGAATGCCCCTCGCCTTGAGAGTAATGGCCAAACCAGGTACCCAGTGTGCATGAATCTAGGGATGAGCTGTGCATTCGTGATTTTCGTGGATTTCAAACGCGTCACGCAGTGATGGATCAAATTGTACATGTGAAATTGCCTTGTTACATTTTGGACTGCTGCTTGTGAGCCACCAAGCACCAAATGTAGGGACGGACTTGATGTCTTGTCCATCTAAAGACGTCAAGTGTCTGCGGGTGTTGCTGGTACCAACGTCATGCTGAAGACTCTGGGTGGGCCATGCCCACCCAAGCACGGCTAAGCGGATTCGACAAGAGTATGTGTAGCAATTCACAAGGTCATTTCCCCGCGGCAAAGCAAACGAGGCAGCATCGACCTTGGACTGGATAAGAGCTACATGATGTGCTTGATCCTTGGCGGTACTGAAAAAACAGTCCTGGGCCGAACGGACGGCTACAAATCCAGCAAGACCAGCACTGCCATGCATCCAAATACTGGCATGTCTCTGGGAGGATAAATTTCAAACACTTGATTTCTTCCATGATGATACATGCCTAGGTAGCTACAAGCTCGAGGCTGCACAGATGTCCTTCCAGATGACTGGCATGTCCACCTGAGAGCGTCGTAGAGCAGGTGAATCTGAATATTCACAAACGGCAAGAGCTCATGTCAAGAAAACAACCTTTCAGAAACTATACTGGGACTAGATGACCCAAAGTCACTCAGCTAAAAAACTGCAGCTCACAGAACGTGCAAGACGTGGCTCATATCGAGCAATCATCGTGTGATATCCGTATATGCTTTGATGTTGTGGGAGCCGAAGCTTGTCTATCTAGGCAGCTGTTTCAGCAGGCTCTTGACTGGTAGCTTTAGACTGATTGTTCTTGATTGAACCACCGCGATTCGAGTGCGTTGGCCAATGGGAATAGTGTTTCAAAGAGTGGGGACGCGTCTCACAACGACCACAAATCCAGATCTTGCGCCGCCCGCTGCAACTCCTTCCCTCTTCTTTCTCATGGCCGTTGGTTTCGATCACGGCCTTCATTTTATCTTCCTCTCCAT